ATATAATATCAGCACAGCTTTAAGCACTGCAAAACCAATAAAATAAAAGAATAATATTTCAAAACAAAACATTTATATATCTAAAGTTGAGGTTAGAAAAGTTTCCATCATCTCTATTTTTCGCGGCATTAATCTCCGACCCTTGAAGCTGTCACTTCTGTGCATTCCGATTGGTTAAATTGGTAACTGTGTGCTGGATGTACTTTCGCCAAATTTTTACCGTCATCTGATAACGAAATTAAATATACCCCAAAAAACATGTAAAAACATTGTACTTTACCAAATGGCACCTGTGCCAATCCCAATCCTGAGCAAAATGGTTAAAAAAAAATGTTATATTAAAAAAATCACATAAGGATGACAGCGCTAATTTTGTTTGCCCTCAAAGTTTTCCAGAAAATATATTCAAAAATAAATTTTTGCTGATTTAAAAATTTATTTGTATGCCTATTATTGTTGTGTTTTATTTTTACAGGTTGTCATAGAAACGAAAAAAAAACTACTATGATTATGGTTTAAAAGAATTGTCTAACAAGAGTTTATAATTAATATTGACTATCTCTGCAAATGATTTATACATACACATGGTTTAAATGGTAGGTAAAATTAGTTTGACAGAAGTGTCACTTATTTAAAATTTTAAAAATAATAGCAGTCGGTTGATCAAAATATGAACAGTAATTAATGGATTTCATTTTTTGCAGTGTTGTCACTACCTAGAATGGATATCAGATATATTCGTTCAGTTAGAGGTAATAGCATACTTTTTCATTTTGTAATATGTGCGTAGATAAGCTAATATCCATGTGGGTGTAGCAAAAAATATTAATAATTCAGGTTTGAAAGCTAGGATTTTTTGAATAATAAATAAAAAAATTTAACCACTTTGCTCAGGATAGGGATTGTCACAGGTGCAATTTGGTAAAGTACAATGTTGTTATATGCCTTTAGAGCATATTTCATTTCGTTATCAGATGACGGTCGAAATTTGCAGTGTGTGCTTTCTTACTATAGGCAAATACAATATGACAACCGTCTATATTCAAACAGTAGTTTCCTGCGCATCTGAATTTGTATCCCTGGAGTGGATGTTATTTTGGAACATCCAGTTGGTCCGAGTGACCTAACTGATTGTTTAGCTATAAACTGTTGTAGTGTCATCAAACTCTATCAGAGACTGGAGTCTATATCTTGCTGAAGAGTCCTAATAAGAACGAAACCGGTTCAAGAATGACTTTTTCTCAAACAGCAAAATCAATGATAGAGTTTTTCTCATTTTCCTTTATGATTTATTTTTAAATTGGTCATATTTGAGAATCGGAATAGTTTTCCTTTATACCGAACAAGTTACATCAAACGACAAAACAAAGTCGTGTTTAAAATTAATAAATATATAATTAAAAAAAAAACTGATAAATTAATCTATTTATGCAGGAACAATATTTCATAATTCAATGCCATAATCTTTAATCTAAAAAAAATGTTACCACGAGTGCTTTCCGTTCAGTGAAATCATAAATCATCAAGCCTGATTTTAATCATCATTTTTTTACCCTTATTTTATTGACTGAAAAACCTTCAGTTTAAGTTAAGCGATAATATATTAATATTAATATTATTAATAATAATAATTTAATAACTCTATTTTACATGTAGACGGCGAATCTCAAGTCGGTTAACAAAAATAGTAGTTGATCGATTTTTTGTTAATTTATTATTAAATCTAGTTCGGATCTAGAAATTAATTATGTGTGAATATAAAAATAATTTCTTTAAGACTATCCGTTGGTAAATCACAAATAAATAATCGTTCCTACCGCGAATATAAATTGCTCATTCACAGCGACTCAAAACAATTTTGGTCTTTTTTTATCCATAATAAAAAACATCAAGAATTTCAGGTATCACCTGTGTTTTTTATTCAGTCAACCGATTGGTAGTGAAAAAATGTAACTAATAACCATAATATCAACATTCGTTTCCTAGTCACTACTTAGTTTATTGTGATTAATATTACAAAAAGTCGAATGATACATTTACAGCCGGATCTGATGGTAACGCTTGTTTTATAGTTAGCGATTGTACAGTAGCTTTTGCTCTACCATTAAAAACCTTAATGTTGCCTTCAATGAGTTTTTTCTGATTCATAAGAGATTCATACTCTCTATTTTTTCTAAGGTTTTTGAGGTTTTAGATAAACAAGGCCAAGCGGACGTGATCTATACACTTCTGAAAAGGCCTTGGATTAATCAAATAGAATTTGGATTTAACTCTGTTGAAATATAGTTTTTAGAATTTAGAATGAAGATAGGGTGTTTGGAAGGTCGATGCAAAGTCTTGACGAGGTAATAGGGGAGGTCAAGACTTAATTAAGTCAAACATATCTTAGTACAAAGTCTTAAGGTTTTCGAGTTTTTGGATTTCTTTAAAAAAAAATGCATTTTTTACATTTGTCTTCTCTTATCTGTAAAATGAAAGATGACACCTTGACAATAATTTTTTTAATAGCAGAACGTGTGTCTTTTCTGAAAATGTAAAGAACAGAAAACCAAATGAACTACCAAAAAATAATAAATGAATTTTTGGTAATTTTTCTTTCTCCTGATCAAAAATTACTTTTTCTGATAAAGTGTTATTAATAAAATCAGCTTGTTTACATTATAAAAATAAATTTTAAATATCTGTGTTTCAGGCCTTCACAAAGGGTGCACAATAAACAATTATATCGGGCCAAATCTAAGAATTTTAATGTAAAAATTTATTGTAAAAATTGCAAAATACTATAATACGTAAAATGATGTAAATTAATGTCTTTTATATATTTGTACAAAATAAAATATTAAGTCATCCTCTTGCTTTATTTATTCTATGCTGAAAAGAGGGCATCCAAAGAAATATCTTCCTGTATAAAATTATACAGTCTACAAATTATCAGATCACTACAACAGCAAACATCAACAAAATCAAGAAAAACTTGTAAGTAAAACTATTTTCTCCACGTTTCATTCACAGATAAGTCAGAAAAGATAAATTATTAATATATTATAAAACATTTGTTAAATACATTATTTATAAGGCTGATTTATAGATTTTATTATATTAGTTGATATTCTTTGCAAAATGAATTATTTTAGAAAATATAATATATACCTACTATAACTATATAATTCTTCTACCTATTTTTTTCTAATCAAACTATTTTTTAAATATATTGAAACATTGAAAATTCTATATTGAAAACAATATTATCTCATGTAATAAAATTTCCCTCTTCGCACCAACCGAGCAATACTAAATTTGTTCTATCCTGTATGTACCCTTATTCCATATCTGGCCAAATTTCAATACTAGGTAGACGAGGAAGACAACAGCACCCATCCTTCGGTACGAACACGGAACGTCTTGAGAGGGGATATCGTAATCATATTTTTCAATCATTTTTATATCCGAAATTACTTTGCTATTTAAATAATTACGGCTTTATATTAAGTCCAATTTTAAAAATTATTTTTTGATCTTATTAAGAAAAAAATTTACTACAAGTTGACATTAATCGATCGAAAAATAATGCATGTTTGATAATGTTAATTCTCTATTAAAAGTTGTCCTTTTTTAAACAAAATTAATAAACTTTATAATTTTTTGTTGACAAAACGGACCATTTTTTCAAAAAAGTATGAAAACCTAGGGATAGTGCCACTTATTCTCTTTGACCATAAAAAAAATATATGGTATTATCTGTAAAACTGTATCTTCTAGGATTAAAACAGAATGCCTATTTTTAATACAAATTTCCTGCTACTGTCATCGGAGCAATAACTTAGAAATTTATTTGTTAGTCAATTGAAACATAAAAAGTTTAAATCGATTTTTCTCGAAAACGGATGGTCATGGAGACTTCAGACAAGAGCATCATTTTGGTGTGAAAATAACGAGACTTTTTAAATGTGATTTCAAAATGGCGAATTTTTGAAAGAAAAAATAAAAAAAATATCCAATACCCCACCCAAACGAGGCGCTTATGACTACATTAAAAAAATCTTAATTACGAAATTTAATTGGATAGATTCAACTAAATAATATCATTTAATAAAAATCCGTTTTGAAGTTATTTTAATTAAACCGATTTTAGAGCGCTATCTTCAAAGAGCTCTAGCTCCCTTAGGAAGCATTTTTGGATAAAGGTAATTTAGGATAAATCGTCATAAAATCAGCTCTAGATTTCGTGGTTTCATTCTGGACACCCTGTATATTAATTTTTAAATTAAATTTTTTTTTATGCAATTTGTTATAAGCATAAATAAGTTGATATCGAACAATACATAATACGTAATTAAAAAACGAAAATCATCAGAAAATTTAAAAACAGTAAACCTTTAGTGTTTGGATAGTGGCAAAACCCATATTCTACGCCACTGGTAAATTTTAATTAATCAATTTTTGCTATTAGGTGTATCTTATAATAATACTAAAACCGTTTACCGAGTTTAATAAAATTATACATATTAATTTTTGTTGACAAATATCTACTTTTATGTTCCTATTAGCTCCATCTATTATATTAGGAAGAGGTGTGGCTTGGTTTTTAAAAGTCAAGTTCTTAAAATAATCAAGTACTTAATGTATGTAATGTAAAGTTGTTAATGTACACGTGGAGAAACGGACTCAAATATAAATATAAAAAACGAGCGAGAAGATGAAATAGAGAATTACTATCAAACATTCTTTGTTTTTTCTAAACATGATTTAATTAAAATTATAACAATTAAAAAGTAAAGTGCTTCGTCTTACACAGCTTTGTCATTTGTTTTTATTTCACACCATTAAAGATAAATTACGTTATATACGTTTTTTTTTCAAACTATCAATTAATTTCACATTTGTCATCTAAAAATCATAATCGTCGTTGACATTCTTTTATGAACACCTTTTTAAAAACTGTAGGAACTAAATAATAAAATAATAGAGAGAGCTAGATTACTTAAAAAAAATTCACTTACCTTTATTTTAACACTGTTCTGCTCTACAAATTCGTATACGTAATCCTAAATATGTAACTGGAATACTGATCGACGGAAAAGTTTTTGAACAATTTTCGAAAGACTTTTTTCAAGTTAATCTTCTTCATCCTAAAATTAGTCACAGTAACAGAAATAGATGTGTTAAAAATTATAAACCCTAACACGTATATAGGCACAAATTACCTAGCTAAATTTAGCAACAATGAGATTATAAATTGACAAAATTAGACCTAAATAAGGCACTTGGTATTTGTATTACTGATTACTGCCCTAATATCTTTAACGAGATGTGATGCAGTAAATTATAAGGCTAGTCATAGACGTAGAGTAGAAGCAAAGAATAGAGGAAATAAAACTTCATATAACTTGTTTATAACATTATAATCCAAATACAGGGTCGCAGATAATGATATATTAATGATATAATAATGAAATATTATGCAGTTATCAATTAGGTTTCAGAAACTCGAATTCTTGTGAAACGGCTGTGTAGTTAGTTGTGTCTGACATGAAAAAAATATTAGATAAACCAGGAATTGGCATTTGCGTAGTTTTTATAGACCTTCGAAGAGCTTTCAAAACTATAGATCGCAGAATTCTTTTATTAAAATTAAACAGGTATGGGTTTAATGATTCTGTATATGATTGGTTAGAAACTTATTTATCAAATAGATTTCAAAAAACAAACATAATATATCAGATTTATTATTAAACGGTGTAGGCGTTCCCCAGGGCAGTGTCTTAGGTCCTTTACTCTTCATAATATATATAAATTATGTAACAAATGTAAAATTCATCTATTCGCTGATGAAACATTAATTTATTTATATGGGAAATAATAATTCAAACTTTAAACTTAGAATTAAAATTATTAACAGAGAAATTTAAAATTAAAAAATAAAAGTAAATGAAATAAAGTCAAAGCCGATGTTTATTGGGAATAATTTTCTTTATAATAAGTATTTAGATTTAAATTTAAATATAGTCATAAATGACGAAGTCATTGGAAATATTGAATAAATGAAAAACTTAGGGTTAATACTAGATAGAGAATTGAAATTTAATAAGCACATTGGTTATGTGTAAATAAATTGGTTTTATGAGAAGGGTATCACTGTTTTTATCTATATCAACTAGACAAACCATTTATAATACACTGATATTACCTCTTTTCTATTACTGTAGTACTATTATTTATACAGGGTGTTCTAATTTTGAAACGTTACAAATCCTGCAGAATAAGGCAATGCGGCAATTTTTGGATGCAATCGTTTTTATAATGGGCATATATTTTCTAAAATAATTCATTGTCCCAAGAATATCAACTAAGCTACTAAAATAATAAAATGTACCCATAAATCAGTCTTTTAAATAATGTATTTAACAAATGTTTCACAATATATTAATTTACATATTTTCTGACTTATCTGTGAAAGAAACGTGAAGAAAATACTTAGTTTTCCTTACAAATTTTTCTTGATATTGTTGCTGTCTGCTGTTGTAATGATGTGATAAATTTTTGCAGAAAGATGCCTTCTTTTTAACTTAAAATAAATAAAGAAAAAAGAAGACTTAATTTTTTATTCTATACAAATATATTAAATATATTAAATTACATAATTTAACATATAATAATATTTTCCAATTTTTACAATACTTACGACTGTTTTTATTAGTAACTTATGCTATAAGTTCAGGAAAATGAAATTCAAAATTATTTCGGTCTGTACTGGTTGAAACTCAAAAATATTTTCTTACATAATTAATATTTAAAAAACTGAGTAAACAGAACCGTTGTGTTTTGTTACTCTCCGGCTTTGATTGATCCGAATTTTATGTTGCTGCCGTTGAATGAAGTAATCATGTTTTGTTGTTATCAACTTTGAGATATATTACATGATACCAGTTCGCGCATGACGTATTGTGGTGTGGAATATGGATGATTGGCCATGAGCTGACTAAAATTTATTTTCGCGTGCTGTTTTCGATCACCACAATATGTCGCCGTGATGTAGTATCAATCGGCTTAATATAATGTTCTTTTTAGAGTATCATGGATATATATTATAAGTTTTCTCTTTTTAACTTCAACGATCTTATAAATAGACTGGGATGAGGTATGCAAATTCTTCTCAGTTAAAATCTTAAATTCTTGCAAGGTTATGAGTTTCTGCTTTTAAAATAACTGAATAATATAAAAGAACAAACAAACGAAGTTGCGTGATATTTTATGAACCCTGACATTGAATATTTAAAAATATCTGAATTAAATCAGAGAATAACAAAAGAAAGTCAATTTTTGCCGAACAAGCTTTAGTATAATTTCCCAATGAAAAATTCCAGTAGCTTTTTTTCTAACCCCAAAATGTGTGATTTATCTACAGTTAACCAAAAAGTCTATAGATCTTAGTAAAATGCGTTCGAAATAAGTTTTTACAAGGTTATTTTATCGTCGATGAAAAATTTATCAGATATGCTGATGTTAAATAGGTTTGTGAACTGGCCCAACATAGGAAATCTGGAAGAGCTTTATTAAAAATCACTTTAAAAAATCTTTTCCCAAATGCATTTTAAACAATGAGCGTAAAGCTCGCTAATCAGTTATTTAGCCATTTTGTAGCTACAACAATTAAAACGGCAACAACAACAACAACAACAACAACAACAACAACAACAACTGGAGAATTAGTTTCCATAACGGCTGAAAATACAGCCTATTTTATTGAAACAATGAACAACCTATTTGATGGCATAAATAGTTCTTCTGCATATAGTTCGAAACCTTGTAACCGATAGTATTATATTGATAATAAAAAGGTGATTTTAATATGCTGTTACACAAGGATACCAACATTTAAAGAATATAGCTAAACAAACTGCCAAAGGTAAATTAACTAGACCGGATTTATTCGATGGTTTTCTTCTTACCATAAATGCCGTTAAAGAGTTTTATTCCTATATTATTACGCAAACTCAACTAAAATATGTATTAAAAGGAAGACTAATTCAGGATCCATTAGAAAACCAATTTTCTGTCTATAGGCAGAAAGGGAGTTTTAATCGAAATCCTACTGTTAGGGGTTCAAAGCAGCTTTTAAGCTAAATATCGTTCATGATTTCATGAGGCCTCCACTTAAAACAAATTCGGGAACGAATCAGGATGAAGACCAAAATCTCCTGGGGTATGGTAATGCTTTAAACGTTTTTAATAGAGCCTCATAATGATGAAGATACAGATAATGAAGAACACAATAAGAGTTCTGAAATCAGTAGGTATTTTATTAGAGAAGACGCTTCCTGTAACAATAGAATAGTGTTCCAATATATACTTTGACGGATACTTTAAAATTTAAATGCGAGGAGTGTCAAAATTATTTCGAAGAAAAAGAAAATGTTTTGAATGATGAACACCAGTTACTAATTTTTTATAAAACTTACAATCTAATTGAGCAATCCGGGCTAAAATGTCCATTATCACTATTGGGCCAATGTGTTAGAATATCGCTACAAACTGTCACGCATAACAAACAAGAATATTGTACCAAAAAAGTTTTTTATAATTTGCGAAAAATTATAATTGAAAAATAAAAACATTTTTAGCAGAATGGTGTAATTGTAATAGTAACTGTATATTTTAGATTTATTAATTACAACTCAAATTTTCAAATATTGTAAGAACCGGTCCAAATTAGAAGCGGCAAAGAAAACGAGGAAACATCAAGCCAGTAAAAAAAATGTAAAGTTGTCTATAGTGCAAAACTCATAAATAAATTAATTCCTCATTTTCCTTATATTTTTAATGTAGTTACTTATTATATCTAACAAAATGTTTAATAATAATACATTTATTATTTAATAATAAATAACCTCTGCACGTGTAGTTATTTTCCCTAAGAAAGCTAATAATTATTGTAAAGGTCCGTCCAGACCGCAGCGCAATACCGCGCAAAACGTTCGCGAACGTTCGCGAATGTTCACACACAGTTTGCGCATTAAACGTCTAAACTGCTGCAACATTTATTAAAAATGATCGTGTTTGCCGAGGTTCCAGTTTTTCAGTACGCGACGTGATTACTTCAGCATGAACGACGACTCTAAAATTGCAGCTGCTGCTTTTATCATTTTATGTGATACATTAACAAAAAAAAAAGAGAAGAGTGAAGAGACGTTACTGGATGACACGTATATTTCATAGTAGAAATATATACAGTGGAAGTCATTTGCTGTGTGACCTCGCAATTGAAGATACTGGACAATTTAAGAATTTCTGTGATTTGTCTTCTAGTGATTTTGAGATGATACTAAATCTTATTGGTCCTAAAATTCCGAAAGAAAATACCAATTTTAGGTTGGCTATCCCTATCAAGGAAAGACTAGCTCTGGTGCTTCGGTTTTTAGCCACTGGAGACTCGTATACCAGCTTAATGTATTCTTTTAAAATATCTAAGCAAAGTATCTCTACAATAATTATTGAAGTTTGTAAGGCATTAAAAGACTACATTAAGGTAAGAAAACATTTTATTTTTAATCATGCAAACTCTGCAACTTCACATTTTTACTATTAAAAATGTTACAGAAAATGTAACGACCCGCAGAATAGCACAATACTGAGTACGCTTAATTGTTAACATCGAAAGAATATATATAATTTTGCAAAGGAGTTGGTGTCTGCGACTGATCCGATTGATAAGATTGATCAGAATAACTCGGTGATGGAGTATGAACATGTTCCTGAGCATATGGTGATCGTGATGATGTATCTATATTTGGTATTCTTGTTTGACAGTGTGTCTCAACGGATGAATACTGGTAGTTATTATATTTCCCCATCTCAGCGTCAAAAATAATATTGTTCATTAGATGCATCGCAATAGAGCGAACTCTGTTATCAAATTTTTGTAGTTTGCTGGCAATATGTTGACCAAAAGTAAAACATTCATCCTTTGGAGTATTCGAAACATTTTTAAGAATGTCATATGCAGCAGCTACTCTCGGATCTTCCTGCTGCACACTTTTTTTTAATATTTGTTTCCTTGGAGATGTAAATAGTTTTCGTTTGCGAGTTGGCGTCTCTTTGGTATTTTGTTTCAGCGTTAAGTCTTCTTCCAAATCCGCAGTTACAGTTACATTGTTTGTGGATTCTGCTTCTTTTGAAACGTCCGCCTCTGATTCACCATCGCTTACGGCTTCAATGTCTTTTCCAATATTTGAATCCTATAATAAAAACAATGATACTGTATAAATCAAATTTTC